CTCTATTTCAGCGGGCAAGGCGAGCAGCTGCGCCTCCGGGCCGACCTCGAGCTGCCCCGGGACGCGTTCACGCTGCAAGTGTGGCTGCGAGCGGAGGGGGGCCAGAGGTCTCCGGCGGTGATCACAGGTAGGCAAGGGCGCCCCTGCGGGCGCTGCACCGTCCCCGCGGTCCCAGGGGCGCGCTGGTGCCTGAGCGCGGGCGGCGGGCGGGTCGGGGGGCTTGCAGGGGGTGTGTGTGCGCAAGGCGCCCCGCTAGCGGCGCGGAGACACCCGGGCTGTGCTGCGAGCCTCACTTTGTCCCATCTGCTGTATGGGCACACTCGGAAGGAAGGCGTTGCTGCATGGCCTCCCGGGAGGAGCGTTGGGAGCGCCCCTGCGGGCCCCGAGACCCTCAGTCAGTGGAGGCCAGTCTCAGGAGCCTACTGCACGTAACCCGTGCTTGGGACTGTCAGACGTACTCTGTGTAGGTCTGAGATGGAGGGGAAGATGACCCAGTTGGGATGCATGCTTAACGAGGCTTGGGACCCATGCGGCTTTTTTTGTTTGTTTGGGGTTTTTTTCTTTTACTTTTTAGTGAAGGTAAACCCCCTTCCTTTGGCCCCATTGTCATGAAAGCCGGCAAGGACAAGCTTGGGATCACCAGGAGTTAGAAGTCCTCCAAGTGCCCTAAAGTTGCTTTTTGCTTGAAGCCTGCCCCGGGATCCACACCCCCACCCCTCCAGCCACACACGCTGCCATCCCCCCGGTTCTTGCTGTGAAAGCCTGTTGCCTGTCACTTGGCGTTTGGGGCGAGACCTTCCTAACGCACATCCCGCCAGTCTTCCCCAGACTCGGCTGCGAAACGGGGCGCTTTTCTCATTTGGGACTTTTATGAGCCCGTAATGAATTTGAGTTCTCTCCTCACCCTCCCTTTCTCTCCCCTTCTCCTTTCTACGGCAAAGCCCATAGTGAAACCGGACACTTGGTGAAGGTTGCAAACCTTAGGAAAGCGCCAACATCCATTTTGCCCCCCTTTAAAGGAATCTGTGGAAATGCCTTTAATAAAACTGGGGGGCGGCGCTGGAGGAAAGAAGGAAAGTTTTGCCTCTTCTGTCTGGGAGGTTCCCTTCCTGCACAAACAATCTTGCCATGTCCTGGGACGTCCTAAAGCGAGAGTAGGGGTTCCCCCTTCTCTGTAGGCAGGAAACGTGTTGAGACGTTTGCGATCCCACCCCTTCACTTTCTTAGAAGGGAAAGCTCTGAGCTCTTCGGGCAGTTCTGCTTCCTATCTTTCCTTGGCTTGGACTTTTTCAGACTTTGCGCTAACTGTCCTGTTTACTTGACGTCCATCTGGGGTGGGTAGGAGCTCAAACTCTGCTGCTGTATCCATAATATAACCGTCCCAACCCCTTCTTCCCAGCTACCAAAGGAGAGCAGTAGAGTGACCCCACACACACACACAACTGACGTCATCGCATGGTGTTTTTCCTTTTTTCCGGAGGAGAGGGAAACCGAGCTCATTCACTTTTAGCTCCCAACCCCTACTCACCCAGAAGAGGTTATAATATGGAGCTGAGAACTTATTCATAATAATAATGGTGATGATGATAATTCAGGGCTGTGGTGTGTTTACTTCTCTTTCCAAATATATGAAAAGCATGGAGTCTGCTGCTTAGAGATGATAAAAATGAGTAGGTCTGGTTTTTCCTAGTCTTTACCTGTCATGCCAGTGATTTGGAAGTCTTCCCTTCAGAGAGGCCAGCCCAGGGTTATACAGGTATCATCAATGAAAAGATAATGAATTCATTTTTTTAATTATATATATATATATATATGTAACACTTGGGATTCCACAGGAGACTGCTTTATAAGTGTCTATAATTCAGACAAGGAGCCTCTCTTCGCATGCATTCTCTTGAGCACTCACTCAATCACTCTCTCACACAAAGATTGTTGCCATAAAATGCTTTAATTGGATGGGGGACGTTAGGTTATTATTGCTTGTATAAAATGCCTGGTCCATTTTATGTGTGGAAATAACATTCCTCTCAAGATGAAAAAAATAAAAAATTAAAAAATAAAAAGGCACTGCTGTCGTGTAGCACCAGAAAGCCAGGAGCTTTTCTCCTGAGGATTCTGGTGGATTTTTTTCCCCTCCCCTAGTTGAGTCCGAGCCAGATCTGGCGGTGTGTAAACACCTGGCTCTGAGCCAGAAAAGGCTCATTCTGCGTATCCTCCACACGCTACAGACTGTTGGACTAAAAGGAACCTGCTTCTCCTTGAATTAAAAAGCAAACAAACAGAGGTTCTTTGCAGAAGTACTTTTTTCAGCTCCTTCCGTGGTTTAAGTTAGGGCTGGGAGAGGCGGGACCGAGGTGGGCAGCAAGGACAGGGCGCCAAAGCTCATCCTCTCCCCACGACCTCAGGTGCACAGTTTGCTGCCTGACCTCTGCTGGCTTTCTCTGGCTGGGCGTCTCCACTTTCGCAGGAATCCCTGGCCACCTATCTTGAGAGAGCAGTCTTTGCTCAGCAGGGACCGCGCTGCTATTTCAGGCAGAGGGTTGCTGCCTCGCTGTCAGGCCAGGCTGCCTTACATCACTCTTTGCTGCAGGATTCAATTGGGTTTCGTAAAGGTCTAATTTTACGGTGCTGTTAACCGGGTCTGTCGTCTGGCAGAGGCAGGCCTTGCCGCTCCTGGTAGGCGGGCTGTGCTCCCAGATCCGCCTGGGATGCTATTTCTGCCCCGGTTCAAACTTCACTGACACCAGTTCAGACAGGCGCTCAGAGAGGCCGGGGAAAGGAGCGAAGGAGCCTATTGCTTCTGAAGCTTGGAAAACATGCCTTTTATTTTTCTGAAAGGGAAGGAGAAAAAAATATATTAATAAATAAAAAAGGAAAGGCTTATGCAGGCGAAAACAAAGCCAAAGTTAGAAAGTGCCTGTGTGCATGATTCTCCAGAGGGCCCACCAGCGATGGATGGATTTTAGGATGGAAGAATCCTTTTAGGCTCCTGTGAGAAGCATCTTTAGAGGTTACCTAAGTCTGTTCTTGTGGCTGAATATGGAGAAAGAGACACAGAGAAGGGGAAGATGTGTGTTGAGGACACAACTCCTCAGTGGCAGAAACTAGGATTTAATCTCTGGCATCAGACTTCCAGGCCTTGCCCCCTACACCACTGAGAGAACTTGTCTCATAAACACCATCATCTCTCACCCCACACAGACCCACCAGCCAGGCTCAGCTTTTAGCTGCCCTGCATGGCAGTTTGGGCTCCCTTTCAAGTCAGGAGTGAAAGGGGCTTTTTCTGACACATCCCTTTGCTTTTGTGCCACACCAAACAGGAGCCAGACCCCTGCCCCTGATCCCCAACAGCTCCCCTCACCCCCCATACCCCTCCAGTTTGAAAGAGAGAAAAAGAAAACAATAGACTCAATTTGCCCCGTGGAGCAGAGGCCCTGAGCAGCAGTTAATCTTGTTAAAGTTTCTCCTGACCTGTTAGATAAGTGAAATCTGGACCCCACAAGTGCTGCCCTCCCTCACCCTTCCCTACTCCCCTTCCCTTTGGAGTCAAAAGGCCTGCTCAGAGGGAGAAAGAGGTTTACCTGAATCCCTATCAGCACTTCGGCTTGCCAGCCCGTTTTTTAAATTGTTGTTGTTCTAAATGCTGAACTGGATTGAGTTTGTAAATTACTCCCAAGAGTCTTTTCCCTTCCATTCTGCAGCCCATACTTCCTAGCAGCCACTCAATACCAACTCCTCCAAAAAAGACAGTACCCATATTTCCCCCAGTTCAGAATAGCTGTGACCGGACAGCTAGGTGTTAAGGAGTCCGTAAATTAACATAGCTCTCCCCTACCATCTGTAATTCTACACAGGATCTACAATATTGCAATGATTAGGGCCCAGGTTTAGTAGCTAGGTTACCTAAGTGTGACTCCACCTTTACCCGTAATTTGCTGTGTGTCTTTGGACAAGCTGGCTGACTCCTCTGGGGTTCAACTTCCTCATCTACGCAGTGATGGTGACATATGTCATCTGGTGGGGTGAGCGTGAAGTGAGCTTGTACTTAGAAGATGCTTAGATCTCGTTGGGGTGTCTTTTTTGCACTCAAGAAACTTTGCTCTTATTACACAACACATGCTTTTCCAGGGATGTCAGCCTTTGTTTTCTGGACTGAGGACACCAAAACATAGGAAGGAAACCTCCTCTCCGTAGGTGCCTCCATGGTGCCAGGCACTGTGTCAGCCGTAGGTCTGGTGCCTGTGTGTTTCACCCTCCCAACCACCCTGGGAGATGGGAGTCATCCCTGTTTTACAAAAGGAGGAATCTATGTTTTAAGGAGCTGTAAAATGCCTTGGTCCAAAGTTCCGTAGGTCCTCAGGTGGGCTGAACCCTGATGAGAACTCAAATATCAATTACCTATTTATTCTGATAGCAGTCATTTTTAGAGAGAAGAAATGACTTAGATCCCTTTCCTTGTTCCTGCTGCTGAGCTTTTCTACTACTTTCTGCATTTTTGTGCAGCCTCCATGTGTCTGGGAATGAGAGAGGATAAGAAATGGGCATGATGCTCACCCGGAGCCCTAGATTTGACCTAGCAGATCTGTGTTTCCTTTTCACTTCAAATTGTTAGACAGACCAGGCTTGGACTTTCTCATACCAATTACTTGCTGTGTGATTTCAGTCAAATCACTTCATGCCTCTACCCCTCAGTTTCCTCATCTGTAAAATGGGCTTAAAGATGGCAGCACATTTCAATAAAATAGATATGCAGTTAATATTAGGGACTTAGTCAAGGGTCATTGGATCCAGTATGTGGATGTAACTCCCTTTTCCAGTTTGCAGATTAGACCTTCAGAAAATGGGGCTTGTTGGTGCCTTTATGGCCTTCCACTCTCGAGTTGCTAAGAAATCTATGTAGAGTAGATGCTGTGTCTTGGGTAACAAGTAGACTTCCCAAGTCCCTTCTTTTCACTTTGACTGCCACTCCTTTGACCTGCTAGGTTAACCCTTTGTAAGAGCCAAAGGAGAATCACTGAGACCTATAAACAGGGAAAATCAGTTAGCATCAAGGGTGCATGTATCCCCAAGAACAGAAGTCAAATGGTGGCCACATTTCTACTGCCATATGCCTCTTGCTTCTTCCCA